GGATTCCAACGGAGTTAGGGGCCATTTAATCGAGTCAAGGGCGCGTGCACCGTCCCTTCGTTACACGTCTACGAGTTTCCTGCGCGCATTCCTACGTAAAATTCAATTATACATCACCGTGATGAAAATTTCTAGATCGAGAGTGGGTATTAAAATTTATCGAAACAGGAGGAAGAACGATTTTATCCTCACGACGAAAAAATCCCCGCCCGTGAATCGAATCGTCTCTCTCTCTCTCTCTCTCTCGAGACATCTCTCGTAGACATCGCATCCTCCGTTTCAAACAGATCGCTCCGAAGAAACTGTCATTCCGTTCCACGAACAGAAGCCGAAAAAACAAAATCCTGGCGATAAAAACGAAACGATATCCCGAAAAAACACCGTGTGTATACAACCCGTTAACTCGTTACCAGTACCTCTCACAGCATCCCTCGACGGGCTGACAACCCCGAGTGCCCTCTTTTTCCACCCTCGATTCTCCACGATCGTCACGGATGCAAAAATCGAGCCGAGTCTCCCCCGCGCCGCGTCTCGTGGAAAAAAGTCGGTCGTCGAGAGGGAATGTTTTCGGCGAGCGGATCAATACCACAATCTCCCTCCTCGTTTCGCACCCCTTTTCGAAGGAATCATTTCGAGGAAATCTCCTCGAACTCGGATTCTTCAAACTTTGCGCGAATCCTTCTCTCGCGCTGTATATTCGAAATAAATCAGGCGATCGTTCTTGGAGGAGTTTCTTCTCGAGGACTCATTTCGTTTCGCCACGAAAATTACGCCGATCTTTTTCCTTTTTCGGCCGAGGATTTTCCCTTTCCGAGGACTTTCCCTTCCCTTTCGAAGGGGTGGTATTCGATGGAGGAGAAGGAACGGGGTTGGAAGAGAGAGGATGAAAAAAGTGTGATTTCGGTCAATTTCGAGTAAACAATTTTATTCTGGAAGAGTGACGCACGAGATGGGTATATGTAATTCTTCTGGGAAACGCTCGCTTCGTGACCCGTATTTTTGTCACCGTTCTATAAATATTCTTTTTTACACGTGATGCGAAAGAGGAAGATTCGCTACGTCTTATTTGAATGGCTTTATAAATTAAGAATCGGATTTATATATTTAAATCGAGTTAAAATACAAACGGCTGACGCGTAGATAGGATTAAAAAGTGAAAAGGAGAGAGAGAGAGAGAGAGAGAGAGAGATATCCGTGAATAGAAATAGAATTTCTTGCAAGGGGAAAAAGGAGAAATATCTTTATCGAAACGAAAATATCTATGCTAGGATTCGAAAATAAGAGTTCGGAGCAGATAAAAACTTCCACGGCCGACAAAAGAGCAGAAAGTGACTTTCGACCCAAAGAGGATTAGCATATCAAAGGCTCGAAGTGAAATCGTAGAAATGATGGATTCATCGACGCCGCAGCTTCAATTGCGAAACGAGGGATCGATGGAGCGGGTTCGATGATGCGAAGCCACGGTTTCTTTCTTCGTTATTTCGATCGATATTTTCCCCTTTGCGCGTACACTTGGCGGTGAAATTTTCTCTTGATCGGGAAGTGACGATTGAACGTCCAACTTGGAGTCCATTGTTCGATCGTTTCGTTGTCGTCCAACTACGATTGTGTCGAGTCACAGTGACAATGGAAACAATGGTGAACGGTTGGCGTCATCGTGCCGCGAGCGCCGACTTTCCCCGTCTTTTCGTATTCAAATTCCGGCTTCTAGAGCATCATCGTGCGTCGAATGATTTCGTCGACCAGTTACGAGCATTCATTATGTAAAGCGTTCACGCTAGACGACTTTTCGTTTCCCAACCACGAGCCTCGAACTCGATCTTAAAGTCTTTTTCCCCCGATAATAAACTTCAACGAACATCCGTAAAGCCGCGTTTACAACTTTGACGACTAAGTTCATCTTAAATTCTTCGGAATCGTCGTCACTATTGCGTTCCGAATTGAATTGAATTTTAATTTGCGCAAGATTTCGAAGATAAATTTGGCTCGATTTGATTCGGAATTGGAAGGGAGAATGTAAACGCGGTTTTACGATTTTGATCATCTCGAAGACCTAGCAGCGATTTTCCAATAAAGCGCGCGGGATTCGAAATTGCGTGGCGACCAACGTTTAATAAACGCTTCGTTTCAATGCCTCCCATGGTGTTGCGGAAAATGAGATTCCCGATACGTACAAGCGTGTATTTATTAAACGTAAAATTCGTAAACTCTTTGTTGTTTCGACAGAGGGGGCAGGACGAGAGACTAGTGGAAAGGGCTAGAAATGGATTAATGCGTTTTTGAGGGTTTTTTGAAAAATTTCAGATTTCGAGATATTTGTGTTCGTTTCAAGGAAGTTTCGTAAAATTTAAATATTCTTGCGTTTATTCAACGAGTTTCTCTTTGGCTTGAATCGGCGGCAAAAAATTTCTCCTTTCTTGAAAGCGATTCATTCGTGTTTTTCTTCTCTTTGAAGCAACTTTGCGCCGAATACAACTTTCCATTCCCGCTCCCGTGCCCTCAACTTTGCGAGATTTCCCTCTTCAGAAAATTCTTTAAACTTCTTTACGTTTCGGATCAACCTTTTTTGCAACAGTCAACTTTTTCCTCCCCACATCTCGTTACAAAAATCATTTCAACGATCTTCTCGCGCGTGTTTCCAAAAATTTCAATTCCCCCTCAATTCAAAAATATTCCAAAGAAAAATTCAAATGCAATAATAACTTCCAAACTATCGAACACTTTACGTATCCCCGAAAATAAAAGATCTCTGCCCAAATTTTCTTCGACTGTCTATCCCCTCCCAATGTAGGAAGATAAAAAACCAAACCCAAGGATCGAAATCAATTCCAATCGCAATTTACGATACAACCGAAAGCTCGAAATCGACGCCATTTCGATAGAATTTCTCTTCATCGGCGCAACGGATCCAATTACCATCCCCCTCCTCCTCCCAAAGTAATTTCCTTTTTTCTCAAACCGGTTCCAATCAAGTACAAACCGATACCCTTAATCCCAACTCAACAGGAATCCTCCAGAAAGAGGATCCCCTCTGTTACACGCCGATTCCGCGTGTAACACGATCCCCTCTCCTCCCCCTCCCCCGATTACTCGCAATATTTCGGCGCGCGATACAACACTCCATAATTGGTGACAGCGAACGAGTTCGCACGTCTTCCGAGAAACTTTTATTACCGCGCCTGCTATTTCTGATGCTCGGTCGCGCGCGATCGCAGCCGACGTCGATGCACGCGCCGAATTGCACTCGAACCTTTTTTCTTTTTTTCTTTTTCGCGCCACCCACCCCTCTATCCCTTCCTTCCTTCCTTCCTTCCTTCCTTCCTTCCTTCCTTCCTTCCTTCGTCCAACAGGCTTAAAAATTGAACCGGGTCGCCTGGTTGACTCACACTCGCAGCGGGTCGTAATCGAAACTGGAACTCGAATCGGCTTGAAACCGGTTGATTCGAGTGAATTGCATCAATAATAATAGTAATGATAATTGACAAGTGAATATCCAGCACGGTGGTATTGCAGCCGGGTCGTGGAGGAGGCGTCCACGTGTATTTTTCAAACGATTTAATGGATCGCCCCGCGGGCAAATGGATTGCATTCGAGGAAGAGGTAATGGAGTCTTGGGGTTTAGAGGTTGGTTTTTACGACTGGGGAGGGGACCAGGTTTTTTTTAATTTGTTGGATAGGAGCGAGCTAGTAAATCAAACGAGGACCTCGTTCGAAAGCGAGCTTCTTTTTTTCCTCTTTCTTTCTTTCTTTAAAGTAGCTCGGATAGTTGGTTTTTTAATCGCTCGTTCGTGGTTTATGGAACCCCCTTTGCCAATTATCTGAGTGGATGTTAGCAGTGTTTTGAGTTTTGAATTTTTTTTTTTTTTTTTTTACGAAAATTATCGAAATTTGGAATAATAATAATAAGGGATGTATCGATCGATAAATGGCTTTCGAAGTATTTTGATAATATGTAGGTCGTATATATAGATCGTGAAAGTGACGGGGAAAATACACGAGATGATTAACGGAAAACCGACCTTTTTACATCGCGGTAGATCGTTCCACGACGTGATGTAAACATTCGTGACCGACATACGCGGAACTCACGCACAGTCGTTCGAACTTTGACCCGCGAACTTCGTTAATAACGTAGCACTCGAGTCCGGTTCACGGTCAACATTGTTACACTTCCGTTAATTTTTCTTCGGTTAATTACGACGAGACAATAAACAACGATGGATGAATCTTTAACGTCCGTTTATTTTGATAATATTTTTATATTCGTTGATCAACGATCGACGAAATAAATTTTCCTTTCCACGCATAATTAATTTAATTAAACGTTGTTGAAAGTTGAATAAAAAATAAGATTAGATATTCAAGCTTGGAATTACGTCTGAGACGTTTCTTTGCCAACTTAATCCAGTTTCTACTTTCTAAATAGATACTTAGGACGAATTCCATTCGCCGATTGTCCACAGGCTCGTCTACGGCTCGAGTCGTGAAAGTGAAGCAGTAAAAAAAAAAATAAAAAAAGAAAAGAAGACCCATTGTCGTTTTACGCGAGAGAGTACGCTAATTAGTATTTTGCCGATCCATCGATTCTCGATTTCCTCGATGCGAAACACCTACAACCGTGTCGAATCGATTTCGCGCTTCTACGATCGCCGTTCTCACTTGTCAATCCATTTAGTGAAAGTATCGGCGATATTAGATCGAATCGCTTCGTCTGATCGATTCTAATCCATATCCTCGAATATCGTAATATCGTTATTTGTTCGAACTACACTTTTTTCTTTATAGAAAAATTTCCGTCCTGATCCTTTCGAGAGAAACGTAGCAATATCTAAATATTTCCTCCTTATCGATCAAATATATTTACGAATTTCAATTTTCATCAAAAATTTTCAAGTTGTAAAATCTTGCAATCTCGTAAAATCTTCTCGATAAATTCTTCTTAAATATCATTTTCTCACCAAAGGCTAATCCAATCGATCTAACGACGTCTTTCTTTTCAGATCGGGGAACGAGGCGCGATTCGAGGCAGCGACCGATCACGACAAAACCGCGCAAGGTAACGCAGCTTTCACTTTATTCGTCTCGCCTTTTGGCCAATCTCGAACGTTCAAAAAAATAAGAGATCTAACCAACGCGTCAAAGTATCGGAGAAAATAATAAAACGCAAAATTTCACGCGAAACAAGAAATTTCAATCCTCGAAAAAAAAGCGCAGAGACTTCGATTCACGAACGAGGAGGAAGAGAAACGAAGATTGATTTCGAAAAAAAAAAAACAATAACACTTTTCGGCTCCCGTTACATCATATTACGCCAGCGTAATATCGTTGACTCATTTCCGGCCGATTTATTTTAATATTCCGGGTATGATGCACGCCTCCACGTCCCATGGTTAAATGCGTTCGATAAATATTCGAAGGCCGAGAAAGTTAATTCGTCAAAGTTAATGGACAGCCGCCCATAAATATCGCGTGGACGAAACGAATTCCGGTTTGATCGACGAAACGATGGATAACGATGGATCCAAGGGATCCAAGCCGATCTTTTCATCCTGACGTGAAACCAGGGATTTCAAAGGAAAACGGGGGAAAAAACAGATTAGATAACGAATCGCTCGATGGAAATTGATAAAACGCGAGAAAATATCGCGATATGACATCTGGTGACCCCGCGCCGTTTTTCCCAACCGCTTTTTGACCGATCGTCGATAAATTATTTTCGACGCTTTGTATTTTCGCGCTTACCTTGGATCAAAGCGATAAATTAATCCCGTGGATATTATTCCGTAAAACGCAACGATGATCACGCTGAATATCCGTAGTTCGATTTTTCGATGTGTCGAATGGAAATCGGTCGATCGATCGATCGTAGAAGAAAAAAGAAAGTTTCGCCAAGAGATCGAATCGAATGTTTTAGTAACAATTATGGATATTTCTGGACCATTGTTATGCTAATCGCGCGGTTTTTGAAATTTGTCCGGCCGCCAGATATAATATCGCTCGCTATTATATCGTTTAATCGTGATGTTGGACGCGAAATTGCGCTTTCTAGATGTCGATATTTTCGAGCGTGTTAACCGTTGAGTTAAACAAACAGTAATGCAATAAAAGTTAGCCGCTTCGGTTGAATGGAACCGCCAAATCGGTTTGTCATCACTTCCCTGAATCGTTGTCGAGAGATTCATCGCGATGCATTCTCGTCGTTTCCCAATTTTTCTCAATCGAGCCACACGAAATTACAATAATATTCGTGACACGATAAATCGATCTTCGACAATTCAAACTTTTTTCAACTTTTCCGCTAAAAATTTACCTGTTTTCGAATTCGAATAAATAATATTCGTGGAAAAGAAACAATGTGAGCACGAAACCAACCAATCGAAAATATCAAAAAAAAAAAAAAAAAAAAATANATCGAAAATATCCAAAAAAAAAAAATATATGCTCGCTTTTCGCGTGATTCCCAGAAAATTTTCCAATTTCCACTCGTAATAAAAGATAACGCGTGCCAGCTGAGTCGAGGGGGGGCTGGCGGAACACGCGCCTCTTTGATTTATCTGTCGTCTGTTGTCACGAGGACGCGTCTTAGGCCGTCGTCTCTCGAAACTCGAGGAACGGGGCGTACGTACGTACGCGTGTCGTAACGAGAGGGGCATTCACGGTACATCGGAAAGAACGACCTTGCTACATTATTAGACACCGCGCGCGGCATTAGTTAGAACAAAAGCAGTGCTCGCATACCTCTTTCCCCGTCCTTTCGTTTCGTTAGAGGGCTCAAAAGTTTCAAAGAAGAAAAAGAAGAAGAAGAAGAAGAAGAAATATTCTCGAGGATATTTTTTTCGGAAATATCGATACCGCAACAACTGTCGAGAGACTTGCACTCTCGAGTTTTATTCTACGATTTTACAGAGGTTAATAATTTTTTTCTTTTTTTTTTTGCAGTTTAAGTTAATTTTGGTACTACTACGTTTTTAATATTGCGAACAGCTGCGAGGATCCAAATCCACAAATCCACTTGTGTACAGGAATACGTGCACATATTTTAGATCGTGATCTGTGCAATCTGTTGAAATTATATTTGAAAATGACTGTCGCATCGTGATATACAACTGTCTGACTGACACGAATAACTAACTTTCTGAATTTCTATATATATATATATATCGTCGAAACGTCAGTTTTTAGCTTTAGGGAAACGGAGAGAAGAAGAAGGAAACGCCAATTTTTTTTAAGGAAATGGCGTAGCTTAATCGCCACGGTCAAATGAATTTATAAGCAAGAATTCGTAAGAGGTAATTAGCAATTTCAAACATTACGACGAAGGATAATAACGTAATAATAATAAAATGTCACCGCCCATTACGAAATGAAACTCGAAGCGAACGAAAAAGTGGCACATGTACGCTTATATTTATAACGGGATAAAAATGAAACTTTCTAAACACACTGTATATAAAATTGAATTTCAATCCCGACGACGATAATAAGCTAATACGATCGACGCACAGTGGTTCGAAAGACAGGATCGAACTTATTTTTTCCCGATTTTCATCTTACACGGAGATTTAATTTTTAGAAAACGAAAATTGCTTTCTTATGATTTATTATTTCGTCAAAAATGTATATAACATAAAAATATATAGAAAAATAAAACGTATAACTTGAAATAAAATATAGAAAAAAAAATTAATAAACACTTAAAATGAAAATGAATATAACAAAACAAAATTACAAACAAAGTTTTCCAAATACGGATTATGTAACATTAAAAATATACAATTAAAAGTATGCTAATTTTATTTACTATTTGAATATGAATCCGATGACTCGAGTGACACGAGGATGAGATAAATGGATTGGATAATTTGTATTACAAATTGACAAGAGAGATAATGGAATCTTTTGAAAAAAAAAACTAAAAAAAAATAAATAAACAATTGGACAACGCAATAATCATCGAAGCAACGATCAAACGCGTCATCGGCCTTTCTTGGTTTGCAAGAAACGAAGAAATCGAGGGAAAAATACACTCGAATACGCGCACAGATTCAGCGTCCAGCGCAATGCGGTAACCCGAGTCGAAAGTTTGCTATTTTTTTCCCCCCTTGATTCGTACGCGGCCAACCACAATATTAGCAGCCGCGTTTGACTCATCGCGGCGATTTCCTGCGAGCCACGTTGCTGCACATTTTCGCGTCGCGTTCCCCCCGCGAATTTTCCCCAGCCTTAACAAGCCTCTCGACAAGCGAAATTGGTTAAAGCGAAAAATACTGGATCTGGAGCTGAGCCAATCGTACTATTCGCAGAGCGAGTGGCACAAAATAGCTTTGTTGTGCGTCGAACGTCGTGTCCTCCCGAGACACTGTTTCCCGCGCGAGGAGATGATATCGTGGAATCGTGACGCTCGAATTTTCCTGGATAAATCGCGACGAATGGTTTGTGCGATCCATCTCTGCGTCTCTTTCAAATTTTTGCTAGGTATCGTTGAAGAAGAAATTTGGTGGGTTTCAATTTTGCTTTTATAGGTAAAATATTAATATAATTGGTGTTTTTGATATCTGGAATTAATATCGTAATAATGAATGACAATTTGTAAGATGAAAGTAATAACTGTTTGACAATTCCATTTCGTAAGTAAAAAGTATAAAATTCTATAATTGGTGGGATTAATAATGAATAATAATTTGTAAGATAAAAGTGATAACGATGTATTGTCCGTGATAGAAGGCGAGACAATTTCATCCCCTACGACTAATTAAAAATCCATGGATAAAGATCCATCCGGTACAACCACGCCCTAAAAACGGCGTTTCAATGAAAACTCCCTCAATTTCCGCGGCAGCTAATCAAGCTTCGTCATCGATCACAGGCCAACCGTCTTCAATCCCTCGCGAAGAAAGTTCAGAGAGAGTCCAACTTCGACAAAAGAGCCTGTATATATATACAGAACTCGTTTCCAAGTAATATTCGGATCCATCCGTTCGAATCTTATATCACTTGGATCTATATCGTCTTTCCTATTCACGATCATAATAATAAATAGGGTCGAGGAGGAAAGAGACTCGTGAGTAGACTCGTTCATCGAATGATCGATTATTAATCACCATCCGTTATCCGCGTAAAATTTCTTCTTCTTCAAGTTTCATTTCGATGGAAATATCATCGATAAAGAAAGAAAAAAAAAAAAAAAAAAAAAAGAGAAAAGATTCGTAGCAATCTCGTTCTTAATTCGATATCAAACGTATGGCGTAAAATTTCTTGGAAGTTTACTCGGGCCACCATCGATAAAATATAAGGAGAGAAAAGGATACACGATACCCTATTCTTTATTCTTCATTCTTTAGCGAACAATCGACTTTATCCACGTTATACAATTCCCAATGGTGCACCACCAATATGAAAACAAGATCCAAAAGAAGAAAGATTCGTGATATCTCTATTTCTCTATTCGACATTGAATGACGTCGTAAAATTTTTTCACCGGCTCTCTAGCGCTCCACTGATAAACGAGATTCAAAGGAAAAAGAGATTCGCGATATTCTATTTTCTACTTTCCAATTATTATCCCTTGTGAAATTCCCTTATTGGAAATAGTTAGCCGAACATTGACGTGAAAAACGAGATCGAAAAGAAGAAAAACTCATGGTGTCCTGTTCTCTATTCACCATCGAATGACGTAAAATTTTTTAATTGCCTTTCCATCAATAGTATTGATAAATCCAAAGGAGAAAGGAATTCGCCATACCCTATTCTTCCTTTCCAATTATTATCCACGTGAAATTCCCTTATTGGAAATAGTTCATCAATGACGCATCACTGATACGATGAAAAGAAAAATCGATGGTATCCAATTCTCTATTCGATATAAAAATTTTTCACTTTCTATGAATAGCATTGATAAACGAAATCCAAAGGGAAAAAGAATTCACGATTCCCTCTGTTCTCCACTTTCCAATTATTATCCAGAGAAATAGTTCACCAATGATGCATCATTGATACGAAAAAGAAGAAGAAAGAAGAAAGGATTCGTGATACCCTATTCTCCATTCGACATAACAA